TTTCATGTCCAATGTCTAGCAACAATAAGCCTTATTTTTTTATATTTATCATATACATTATTACCTTATGGAACTATTTTGTTTGTTAGCTCTAGTTTTCCAATGTTTTTTTTAAAGTTATTTTCTATATATAAGATGTAAGATTTTTTTATATAGAGGCAGTCCCTGGGTTATGAACAAGATCCATTCCTGGCTGTCTTTAATAATGTGTAGGTAAAAAAAAAAAAGCAGAATTTGTAGGTAACTGGAACCAGAACATACAGTTCTTATTTAGCCTTACTTTACTGCAAGACTCATAGTGACCCTATAAGACAGTGTAGACCTGGCCCTGTGGTTTTCAAAGCTGTAACACTTTCCGGGAACAGAAAGCCTCATCATTCTCCTATGAAGTGGCTGATAAGTTCAAGGTAATGACCTCCGAGTAGCAGCCCAACACATAACCCACTACACCACAAGGCCTGTATGAGTTGCAATCAATTCGATGGCAGTGAGGTTGGTTTGGATGCAAGAAAAGACTCAATGCCTTTTAAATTATTTAAAAGCTACGCGTGCAGTAAATGAAGATAATTGTGATGAAGAATTTGAGTAAGAGCTGGTTCAATCCTTTCAAAGTGAGAGCAAATTTATAAAACATTAAAGATGAAGTATTAGTTGTCTATAAGTCAGATATTCGTAGCCTATATAAGACATCATATCAGCAAAGACTAGTTCCTGGAGAAGGACATCATGCTTGATAAAGTAGTAGGTCAATAAAAAAAGAGGAAGACCCTCAAGGACATGTATTGACAGCGTGGCTGCAAAAATGAGCTCAAGCATAGCAATTATTGTGAGAATTCTGCAGGGTTGGACAATGTTTTGTTTCATTGTAAGTCAGTAAGTAAAAATTATTGCTACTGGGGTTCCAGTTTATACGCACACAGGTTTATTACAAACAAAATGTGTTCAAACATGTCTATATCATCAGAGTATGTTTGAAGATAAGTTCTCTCAGAAATACACTGTCTTACTCTCATTAGAGGGCCTTTAAAATAAAGATACATTTTGTGCCATGGAAAAATGATTTTGAGGTTATTAGCCAAAAATGATTTCGGCTAATATCAAGCTTTTAACAAAATTCAAATGAACATCTTCCCAAACCATTGAAGTTTTGCAACAAGTTTAGGGAAATGCTGCCCCACATGAAGCAACGGCTTTTAGATCAAGTGTATTAAAAAAGGCAGGGAAGACCTCATGAATGAGCCAACTGAAGGAATATCACCACCAGTGGCCTCAGCACGTTTTCAGCTCAATGAGTGCCAAACTGGTGCATAAAGATTAGAGAACTGGTCTTTCACTCAGTGGTTTAAGCATAATTGAAGCGAATGAAGATAATTTTATGGAAAGAATCCATAACCAAAGTCCTAGCCAATATGATCCGGAGAGCAAGGTCCAATCAAATCTGGCTTTCTAAAGGAACTGCAGGGCCAGTTATATTTAAGGTAGAGAAACCAACTCCAAAGGTTTTTGAGGTTGTAGTTGCAGATTCTGAAGGAGTAATCTTCATAGATTTTCTCACAGGACAATCAGTGGAGCCCACTGTGACAATGTTTTAAGAAATTTTAAAATTGTAAGAAAAAGGCTAGAACAGTGGTGCAGAAGAATATTTTTCCATCCCAGCAATGTAGCTGCTCATTCTTGGATCGTAGCAAAGGCTGTTTTATGATCATTTCATTTGGAAATCTTACATCATCCACCTATATCCCTGATCTTTCCCCTTCAGATTTCTTTTGGATCTTAAAGCTCAAAGAACCTCCTTCAAAAATGTCATTTTGAGAATAGATTATCAAGGGTTCATGGGGGAGGGCAGAGCGGGGAGGGAGGGGCAAAAATGAGGAGTTGATACCAAGAGCTCAAGCAGAAAGCAAATGTTTTGAGAATGATGATGGCAACAAATGTACAAATGTGTTTGACACAATGGATGGATGGATGGTGATATGAGTTGTACAAGCCCCCAATAAAATGATTTTTTTAAATGTCATCTCGATGCAGTTTAAATTGAAAAGCATAAAATTCTTCAGGAACAATTTAAAGAGATGAAATCATCACCTTTGGAATTGTATAGATCTAGATGGAGGATATAGAGAAAGAAAAACTTCACATTTTGGTATTTTTCTCTGATATAGGTTTCTAGGATATTATAGTAATACTTTTTCATCTACCCTCCTATAAGCTGAAACCACTATAAATTGAAACCAACTTGATGGCTGTGGTAGTTACATAATCTCATGTCAACTTGAAGGTATTAGGAGTGAAGGGGTGGAGTTTAGCCTGTCAATCAGATCACAGCCTAATATACCTCCTTGTGGGCGTGACCTTCTCATAAGGAGGATTCTGGGAACTCTCTCTCTCTGCTTCACCTTCCTGTTGACAAGCCACATGGAGCCACGCTGATGGCAACCAGATCCCTGGAGATGTGTCCACTGCCATTGGATCCACAAGATTTTCCACCCACCAGTCTGTGATCTTCCTGCATTTAGTATCATTGCATATGACTGAGGAGTCTGAGAGGAATTTATGGACTAGTATGGGACATGTGGGCTAATATCGGACTTATGAACTTGATCTGGACTGGGCTGGGATTTTTTCTCAATAAACAATTGCTCTTTGATACAAAGCTCTTGCTTACACACATATGAGTGTCTCTGAATTTGTTTCTCTAGTCAACCAAGCCAAACACAATGGTACATGACAAGAACAAATGCATGAAATCGTGTCATCTACAAAAATAGCTTTATTGCTTCTTTTTTGTGATGCCTTTTATTTCTTTTCTTGCCTAATTGTCCAGCACTACAATGTTGAATAGAGCTGAAATTATTTTATATGGTTTTATTGGCATGTACTTCCCATATCATACAATTTAATTGCTTAATCATATTAAGACTTGTTCAATCATCACCACAATTTCAAAACATTTTCTTCTCATACTCATGGTTGTTAGCTTCCCATTTCCATGATCCTCCCCTGCCAGGCCCATTGGCAATTATCAATCCAGTTACTGTCTCTATAAATCTATCTATCCTGGATTTCATATACAGAAAATCATACAAAACACAGAAAGGAACGAAATACACAAAACAAAAACCAACAATAATAACTAGACAAAACGTATAAAAACCTCAATAGAAAAAAGAAGACAATATTAAAAACTGACATCATTTTAAAATGGGTCAAAAGGGAGATCAAATGACAAGGTTTACATTTTGACCTAACTGCACCTGCCATGATCAACTTTACAAGACTGTCTGATATCAAGGATAGTCACTATGTTCAGAAGGGATACAACAGAGGTTTATTCCATTAGGGGACCTTAGAGATGAATTTGTGGTTTCCACTATCATCCATAGCCTTCTGCAAACCAGTGTTCACAATCTGAGCTCTAATACTGTTCCCTCCTTTTAATTTGGATTTTACTATTTACAATCCTTGTCACACAAACTGGTGTGCTTGTTTGTTCCATGAGGACTTAGTTGATGTTTCACTTAGATGGCTGCTTGGTTGAAGACAAGTTTTTAAGACCCCAGACCCTATTATTTCTTATAACTAGGAACCATCTGGTTTCTTTACCACACTTTGCTATAGCTCCCATATATTCAGTGATCTCTCCATGAGGGTGAGCACTGAGTAGGGTCATGTCAAAAGAACGAATTTTTCTTAGATTGAGGCTAGAATTAAGTGTGAATCCCAAATCCATTCATATATCTATGGTTCACTTTAGAGACCTCACTATCATTTTATGTTAGAGAACATTATTAATTGTCCCCAGGGACATAATGACACTATTGAAAGTGTCATTAGTTTAGCCAGTGGTATAGATTTAAAACCATCCCGAGAAAAGGAAATTATTCAAGTATAGTCCATATGCGAACTGCAGTACATGGCTTGTTGACTTGTAAAGATTAAACTCTTAAGTGGCTGGACACAATTTACACAAACAAGGGGGGGTCAGTGATAGTGCAAAACCTTCAATAACATTCATCCCCAAAGATATATCCATGCCTACCAAGAGGACATTAAAATAGTAAGTATATGGTAGTCCCTGGTCACCATTTAATGGGCATCCTCAAGGCAATTGGTCTGAACCTAAGCCCAATGACTGCCTGTTCTAGAACTTTAGGACAGCAGTCATCTGCTTCTTTTCAAGATCTTCCATCTTAAATCCAAGGACTACAGCTGAGTTTCAGGTAAAGCCCAGTTCACTTAGTGAGGTTTCCACATCAAATCCTTCTGTTATGGACTATGAAGGATACGTGTGCCTCAAAAGAAATAAAATCCCAGTAGTCTTTAGCACACAGCCTGGGTCACCAAGGGCTGGATAGAAGCTAGGTCAAAAGTGTCTAATTAGGACCATAGTACAAGGGCATAATCTCCCCTTGTGTTCTATATAAGTATTGTTAAGATTTTATTGCTGTTGTTTTCTTGATGGGAGGTTGCTCCTCCCCGTTTACCCACCAACAGAAATGTAATCACCATCTCTTGGGCATACAAGTTCCCCTCCCTCCATCTTGACTTGAATTTCCAATAAGGTTCCCTTATCATTTGGAATAGAGTGTCTGTTGATTTGTGGTGACCTTAGCACAATGGTGGCAACGAAATTGAGCCCATTATTATACCTTGTTTCAACCCATCTGATTGAGGGACTTCCTCTGTTTTGCTGACCCTCTACTTCACCACTTGCCTGTCAGTTTATCATACTGTGGTGGCTTGTGTATTGTGATGCTGAAAGCTATGTTACTGGTATTTCAAATGCCAGCACAGTCACCCAAAGGGAACAAGTTTCAGTGGAGCTTGCAGACAAAGAACAGACAGTCCAGGAAGAATCAGCAGCCCACTTTGGAGGAAGTAGCCCTTGAAACCCTTATGCACAGCTGTAGAACATTGTCCATTACTGAAGGCTTAACGAATGGAAGCAGAATATAGTCAAAGACTGTGCCAGAGGATGGATACTCTGGCTAAGGTCTTACCCTAAATACCTTTAGTACCAAGTAAATCTGTAACCATCTAGAAAGATCAAGAAATTGAAATATCAAACTGTAGTATTATACAAAGTACATTGGTATATTCAAAAAGCTCTGGAAAAGGTCCCATTTAATTTGCAAACTGGGTATAATCAGATTTATTCTTTCCCCAATTTGAGAAAATTAAAAGGAAATTGGGTTATTTCCTACAGTGTATTTTTTTCCCCAGATAAAACATCTAGAGCTCATAGCAAAACCACCTGTTATTTGTAACATTTTTAAAAAATGTATCATTTTATTGGGGGTTTATACAACTCTTATCACAATCTATACATACATCAATTGTATAAAGCACATTTGTACATTTGTTACCCTCATCATTCTCAAAATATTTGCTCTCCACTTAAGCCTCTGGCATCAGCTCCACATTTTTCCCCTCCTCCCTCATGAACCCTTGATAATTTATAAATTATTATTTTGTCATATCATACACTGTCCAACGTCTCTCTTCACCTGCTTTTCTGTTGTCTGTCCCCCAGGGAGGAGGTTATATGTAGATCCTTGTAATCGGTTTCCCCTTTCTACCCCACCCTCCCTCTACCCTCCTGGTATTGCCACTCTCACCACTAGTCCTGAAGGGATCATCCGTCCTGGATTCCCTGTGTTTCCAGTTCCTATCTGTACCAGTGTACATTCTCTGGTCTAGCCAGATTTGTAAGGAAAAATTGGGATCATGATAGTGGGAGGGGGCAGGGGGAAGGTAGCATTTAGAAACTAGAAGAAAATTGTATGTTTCATCATTGCTACTCTGCACCTTGACTGGCTTGTCTCCTCCCCGCGACCCTTCGGTAAGAGGACGTCCTGTTGCCTACAGATGGGCTTTGTGTCCCCAGTTCGCACACCCCCTCATTCACAATGATATGCTTTTTTGTTCTTTGATGCCTGATACCGCATCCCTTCAACACCTCGTGATCAGACAGGCTGGTGTGCTTCTTCCATGTGGGCTTTGTTGCTTCTCAGCTAGATGGCTGCTTGTTTACCTTCAAGCCCTTAAGACCCTAGATGCTATATCTTTTGATAGCTGGGCACCATCAGCTTTCTTCGCCACATTTGCTTATGCACTTGCTTTGTCTTCAGTGAAGGTGAGCATCATGGAATGCCAATTTAATAGAACAAAGTATTCTTGCATTGAGGGAGTACTTCAATGGAGGCCCAATGTCCATCTGCTACCTTAATACTAGACCTATAAATATATGCACATAGATCTATTCCACCTGTTATTACTCAATAATAAAAAATAAATATTTTATTTTGGATACCTGAGCCAATTTGTTTATAGAGTTTATATTACTATAGACAAATACAGTTTTTATAATACACTTATAAAAGTGTATTATAAAAGTAGGTGATTAAATTGTATTTATAATGGCATGCTTGATGAAGGAGTTCTGGTGGTACAATGGGTACATTAGATGGCTAACCTAAATGTCAGTGGTTAGAACCCATGAGCAAAAGGTGAGGCAATCTGCTTTTGTAAAGATTTTTATCCTCAGAAACCATATGGGACAATTCTACTCTGTCCTATAGGGTTCCCATGAGTCAGCATCAACTCCACTCAACAGCAGTGGGTGTGGAATTTTTGTCTGTGGCAGGCTTGTCAGTGTACTGTATGAGAACAAACAATATCCCTTGCTCTTCTTTACCATCTCATACAACCTAAGGACTAATAAAAGTACAATAACCCATCTAAAGACACTGTACCCTAGACTTCCAGTCTCAGTTTGAGATTAAGATCAATACTCTGGATTTCATTCTATGTAAGTGGATATTTACTAGACCTCAAAGAGTCACTTCTCACTCTGTATAAAATTAATCAAATGTTCCATTTCCAAGAGTGATTGGTGTGTTAGTTACATAAGTTCATGTCAACTTAAGGATTATATAAAAGTGTAGGTATGATATGCAACCTGTCAATCAGGCCACAGCCTCCTCCTGGGCATGGCTTTCGCATAAGGAGAGCCCTGGGAACCCCTCTTTCTCTCTCTGCCTTGACCTTCTTGCGGGTGGGCCACTCTGAGAGCTGCCAGAGCACTGGAGATATATCCAAATGCCATTGGATCCACGGGACTTTGCACCTACTGGCCAGTGGTATTCCTGCATTCTGCATCACTACAAATAGCTTCATGAGTCTGAAGAGGGACTTATGGACTAGTATCAGACTTGTGGACTTGCATTGGACTGGGCTGAGATATTTTCTATATATAACTACTTCTTGATATAAAGCTCTTTCTCATACATACACATATGAGTGTCACTAGATTTGTTTCTCTAGTCAACCTGGCCTAACACAATTGGTGAGTGATATAAAAATGTCTTATACCCTTAGAGAAGCCACGTGTGCCCAAGCAAGTGCATCATATTGCAGTGGCTCCCAGCCTTCTCTCTGTATACTGACCTGAAGCAGTCATTTGTGCTAAGAAGAGCAGGTACACAGAGGTAGCATCCAATTGCAGGTGTCCCCATTGGTTGTCACCGACTACAGTGGCACAGGTCTTGGTGTTGTACTTGGCATGGAGGCTATCCTCGGTGCTCTGACTATACTTGAAGGATTCTACTTTATCCACCTTTGGAGGGAAAAAAACAGTAAAATAACAATATGGCTCATATCTTAGTACTTTCTTCACAAATACCACTGCATTCCTTCTTCAGGCAATTGTGGATATGTAAAATGTATTATTACTTCTTTTTCTTAAATTAATGCTATGTTTTAATCATTTTATTCGGGGCTCATACAACTCTTATCACAATCCATACATACATCAATTGTGTAAAGCACATTTGTACATTCATTGCCCTCATCATTCTCAAAA